ACTTTGCACAATGTTCGAGCTACAAATAAAATTATTATACAGTTATATATACAAAGCTTCAGTTCTACCTTGGCGAAGAGGATATAGGTAGGACTGTACGTACACAGAGTTACTGGATTTTTTTGTAAAATAATATTTTTTTTATTAATTAATTGCAAATCTTATTTGTTGTTTGAAATAAATTATAAATTTTATTACCATGTCGGCTTCTGGAAAAGCCGACAAGACCCCACTACGTGGATCCACGCTGATCCTGTTTGTGGCGATAGGCCCATTGGCCATCCAGAGGCCGACAATCTCCTACCTCCTCGCGGCTGGCCGGTGCTAAAATTTCTACCATCCTTTTTCTTTCTTACGCATGCTCTCTCTCTCACACACATCTATCTCGCTCTCGCCACTGTCCCCGCCTGGTCCGCGCTCGAGAGAGGGGAATCCGGGGCTGGGCGCGCGTGTTGCCGGGCATGCCGGCCGCCGCCTCTGCTGGCCCCACCTTCCTGGCCGCTGTCCACCTCGTCCACCGTTGCCGACGCCTGTAGGTAAGGTTTCGTTTTTTTCTTTTGTGCATTTTATAGACTTACACTCGACTGGGTTTGGCTCTGACGGATTGTCCTATGCGAACAGATTGTCCGTCAGTACACATGAGCACTACGAATATCAAATTTGAAGAGGCTATATTAACACGTAATTATAGAGTTGATTATATGGATTGTCATAGGTCACCACATATGGCCTTTTCGGGTTTGATACATAAATCGGGCTTGTCTTGATTTATGCGGTTGATTTGTTGGGAGGAAAATCTTCGTGCTCATTGTTAATAAACCACCTTATATGAGCAGCGAACAAGACCATATATGGGTTGAGGCTATACTAGTCCGCTTATATCCAAATGCGTAACAAATTAATGTAGTGGTGTGTCACGTGTAGTAGTAGTTTGTCGGACCTGGTTTTTAAGGAGAGTTTGTTTGAGTTAGGTATGCCTCTACATTCTAAATTATAAATCGTTTTAATTATTTTGATACATCTATTTTGATAAGCATCTAGATATAATAATATATCTATATACGTATTGCTCTGATACGTAAAATAGGGTACCCCAAGCAAAAGATCGAAAAACTGCTTAGACCCTAAAGACGGAACCAACAGAATGAACAAAGCGAGGTCTCGGCGAAATCTCCGATTCGCCTCGAGACCCACATCGCCGAGCCCCAATGAAGCAAACGATTCTCCAACTCACTCGAGACCGCCTCGCCGAGGCCCCCTCGCCGAGACCCTCGTGAGACCCTCTCTCCGGGGAAGTCCGGAAGAAGTCCCATCCGCGCGAGGCCGGGCTGGCCACCACTTCTGGTCGCCTTTCAAGCGGTAATCGCTCTCGACCGACGTCCGCATCCAAGCACCCAACCACTCCGACAAGCATACGATGGCACATGCGTGGTGACCACGACTTCTACGCCAGTCGCGTCAACCCCCCGCCATCTGCGACGGCCACGTGTAGGGGTTACCGACCACCAGCATCTTTAGCCTAACTCCTGCACTCAAGGACATCGCAACATGGGGAGTCGAGGCGGGTTCCCGCAGCACCTCGGAATCGTGGCCGGACCGACCGTCTCCGCCTTGAGAGCCCCTCGACAGGCCTCGGATCCACCGATCTTACTCCGCCTCGCCCGTCCGCCTCATGAGACCCCTTAGGGGCTCTTGACCAATTGGCCACTCACTTCGCGGCCACAAAGCCGGGCCTCGTCCACTGCTCACTGCCGCCTCCCGCCTCAAAAGTCTCTCTGGCCGTTTGTCACATCCGATTAATGCGCTCAACAGCACCCTTCGTAAGCCACGATCGGCAAAGGCGC